TCTTCTGCACTCCACCTCAGCAAGAAGAACAAGATTCGGATTCTCAACACAAATGTGAAGTCAGTCAGTCCTTGTATACAGGTCAGAAACTTGCGAAATGTTTCACGAACATGATTTGCAACAGGCCACTGCAGACTTTCATCAACGCATGCCTCCTTCTCTGACTCCATACTGAAGACCAAATAGTCAGAAAGAATAAGCAACAAGAAACTATGGGAAAAAATCAATCAAGGGCCAATTGCTCAACAAATATGTAGGAGATAATGGAGATGGATTGAGCATACATTCAGGAGGCCGCCGATTGATTTTGCATGCGAAGCCCTCGAGTAGAATCCCAATGGGAAGTGACGAGTGGATGGTCGGTGCAAGGGTAACTTGGAGGAGATTGAGCGACAATCAGATAAGGTATTATGGGCAGTCGTAGACCAAGATGAAGAGGACGGCAGAAAACAGAATGAAGATGTGTTGTTGAAGCCCTATGTTCCACTCGAAACGCGAGGGAATAATAATAATAATCTCGAGAATTTTGCAGCATTTATCAAAAGAAGCCTAAATAAACGGAAGGTTATTTATCAGTGACACTTAGACTCAGTATTTCAAATTAAAGTGGAAACAAACTTACTTGACTTCAATATATCCCAGTTAACGTAAAAAAATAACTGACTCTCACCAATAACTTATTGACAACCAGTAAACGAAATTTTGAGTTTTCCAAAGATCCATCAGAATCGATGCACGTCCAATTAATTTTAAATTGTTATCAAGCATAGGCAACATATGGTGTTTTCACACTGTTACTAAAACATGTGATCATAACAGAAGTTATCCCCATGTCTCCTTTGGAGTAAAATGAGAGATATACATTTTATTCGATGATACACTTAGAAAATGTCACCGTTTATGTTAATAACATTTTGGAGATAAAAATATGGGGTGGAGAAAAAACGCTTCATCAGTCGGTTGCGGTTAGCGGAAAGATTCCCGGTAGTCAACAAAATTAAGGCTTTCTTTGATTCCATCTAGACAGATAATGAATCAACAGCTTTTGACAAAAATGATAAATGTCTGAATAAATTGGGTGACATCCTAGTTACCGGTAGTACTATGGAATGTTTCTTCTTAAACCTGTGGAATATGAATATTCACCAAAATAATCAATTACTCCACTTAATCCACACACTTCTTTCAATATCCAGCAAAATTAAGCAACCATCAAGTTATGGGTGCTCACTTTCTGTATGGCTAAAATCTGATTAGGCTTCACAGAGGAATTATTTATTGGCCACACATGCGCTGTGACAATCTTCATTTACTTGAATATTCTGTAGGCAATTATTGTTTCAATAACTGTTAGCTATTTTTCAAAAATCCATCATTACATATCAAAAGCACCCTAACATCATGCCATTTATTGAGGGCCTATTTTTGAATAATTTTACTTTTATTTAGAAAGTCACACGACTTTACTGAACTACATCCTTGGTATCTATTTAGTTTTCTACCCTTAACCCAATCCAGATATGTGAGGCTAGTGTTTTCAAAAATATTTGATATCTTAGTAGTCCGATTTCTCTTGAATTATATCATATCCAACAGCAACCACCTTGAAAGCTCAGATAAATACAATTTTGAAATAACGATATTGAGGAATTGTCGCCTCAATATGCCTCGTAAAAGAGGTAGTCCAGATAAGAGTGGAAATAAGATTATAAATGGGAATCGATGGTGCCAATTAAAATGTCATAATTAAACACCATTAAGCACAAGTAACAAAGCTGGTAAAAAACTGACACCAACTTTTCGCATAAACAACCCTAAAATTTCGACCAGAATGTAGAATGACTGAATGATTTGTTGAATATAAACAATTTAACCTGAACAGTACAACCACACACATCGTTTTATCAATAGTACGATCGAGTGTTTGGTAGGGTTAAGATCTAAAAAAGAAGTGAATTTAGGCAGAGAGAATGAATAGGGGTAAGAAAAAGCATTGATAATCAGTAACCTAACGAAAATAATATGTGAAATGCTTCTCAAGGGTGGAATTAACCGATATATCTTTGACAGCACAACACTGATATCGCGAGAATAAGATCAACTTAAATTCAATTCATTCAGATTCCCTAAATAAGCTAGTTATTTTTCATGATTCAAATGCCCTAATGATTGTCTTGCTTTATAGCTGTCAGCTTTTTGGATAAATTTCCACTTGATACTGCTTATTAGCACGTAGATCCTGTTGTAAAGGTTTCTATCTCAGTTACATAGGAAATCATGACCTGTGTACAAATTTTCGTTTGTTTATTGAAAAATTCACACAGAGCGAGACAATATTATTAACTGGACAACTTTTCAAACACAACTTATTGTTCATGGTTATAGGAAGTTGAAATTTGTCGTATCATTTCAATGAACAGTGCGATCTAACTTGAAATTCCTGTTGCTTCATGATGTGCTACTGCTGTATCCAACATCGGGGAAAGTAATGACAACTTCTTTCCCTCACTTGCCTTAATGAATAGTGACTCTCTGCCAGTAACAGCCATATATAAATTTTTATATTTACTTGCAGGAAACCACATCCACAATTTTTCTAATTGAAAAACCTTTGAATATAACGCGTTATTTATGCATTACATCGAAAATAGCAGGAGTCTTTTTTTTCATATTCTCCACTAGTGATATTGTTCATTTTATATTACAAATTGTTAAAGCTTTGATATGTTAGTGTTTATATGGCGGCAGGCATACTGTATGTCTGTTTGATTTCTATAGTGTAAATTTTTCCTATAAAAGTTCCTCTAAACCCCAGTGAATAGGTTTATAAGCTTGTATGAAATATTTTTTATTTATTTTCACATTCACTTAAAATTCACTGTACACAAGTTCAGCTTATTGATACTTCGCCTACTCGGAAAAGTAATGACTGTTTTAATCAAAACAGTAGAACAAAACATAAATCTGAATAAAATAATGCAAAGTATGCGTGAACTTCTGCAAAAAAGGGAAGAAAAAAAAAGATAGTACACATTAACCTCAAAAACACTCAGATAATTAATTAGCTAAATTAATCCGTCTAGTCAACTTATAAAAACATAATTTCGGCATAACTTTCCACATTATGTTGTTTAATTATACACTAATTAACCTACTATGTTTTAAGCGATTAAACAACCTAATATTTTATCAAATGTTTACACTTTATACAATTTCCTCTGTTTCAGGTAATCTGAAAGAGAGTAAAAAATATTTTAATGAATGTGTGATTAGGGCTAAGTCAAAAGGCAGTTCACTTATCAGCTGGTCATTTGACGGATTTCAAGAAATTAGGGTCTTCACTTTCTGAACTGTTCAAAAGAGGTGCGAACTCCCGTCTCTCTCCTGTTTCCAACAAACAGATGCATACATTTTGTTTCAGTAGTATGGCAACAGGTATAAATCCTCTTACTACCCACTTGTGATACTAATATGTATTGTTGCTACTCACAGACAAATAAGCAGTTATAAAAGTGAGGCTACAACATATTCTTGAGAAGAATTCACCTATACACTTCAGCTCATCTACAAGGAAATCCTAACCATAAAATTGAGAATCCCTAGCGGCTTTCACATCTCATCATGACAAGAATCTGATCAACTACTTCACTTTGCAAAATTTATATGGATATTAAAGGATATCAGTACCTCTAATTAATTAAAAATAATGAGGCTGATTGCGTGCTGGGATGATAATATGGCAGGGAAAATAAAAGAACATTTAAAACACATGTTGTTAATAAGCTAAGAAATGAATATTGAAATTATTATTGGCGGAAGTATACTCAGTTAATATGAAATAATTTTTTATAACTTTCACTGACTTGAAAAACGGAACATGTCATTAGACTTTGAAGCCGTATAACATGTCTTAAAACTCCGGTGCATGTAAAATTGCTGAAAAATTGTCGTAGAATGCACGATTTACTATCGTGCTACCAAAGGAAACACTACTCAACATTTTTTCCTATCCACTTCATTACCATTCATTAGATTGAGGAATTTTGTCAGGTGAAATTAAATATCTTTATGCCAACTAGGAGAGGGATTAGCGTGAAAATACAAGGGAAACTCCAAGAGGTGATGCTATGCAGTTTGCAACGAAAATAAACGAATGGTTTTAAACAATTGTTCACTATGAATCGTACATCTTATGCGTTTAGAATATTTGTTTCAATAAATAATTCAATAACTAATGCAAACATTTTGTAGAATTGTTAACCGTACTGCCATTTCTAGAAACAGACACTTGGAATTAATTACTGAACAATTATTTTACTTTGGTCGCATTATCAGTTCACGTAAACGAGATATAAGGCTAAAGAATTGGATTATAAGGAATAATATTTATCCATCTATGCTTTGAAAAAAAATTCAGAATAATTTGTAGCATCCTGTATGAGTTGATTGCGCTTCATGAAATGACACCAATCAGATAATCAGTGAGAATCAGAGCGCATTGGATAGGTATTTTATTTCATCATATATCTACAGTCTATACGCAGAAGACCACCTTGCGTTCCTCTGTAAATGAATTCCTGAGTGAACTTGGCTGAGTTTAAAATTAGCATTAGTTTTACGTTATGTCTACTAATGACAAAAGTACATTATGACTAATTTTACAATTTTTTAAATCGGGAAACAAAAAAGTATCATTTTCTTGCATATGAACCTATGACAGCGAATATCTGTTGATCGTTTCATATAGTACAATCAGTCATAACATTTTTTGTTTCTAATTTTTCGTCATTTCACGAAACGAAAAAAGTTAACATATTTCTCACAATAACTGAAGACAAATTCTAAGATTTTATTAAAAGGAATGTAGCTTGCAACAGCTTCTTTCACAGACTTTGCCATCTGAAAATTGAAGACATAGAGTGCTTCTTATCAGTAATTTTGTCTGCTGCAGTCTATAATAACTTGCCAAATAAACAGGGAGTTTTAAGTTACCGACTTACCCATTAAACGGATCTACTGCATAGTTGATTATTTTTTCTTCACTATTGTTGTGGGGCATTTGAAATTCCGAAAATGTCAGATTTTTCACATTAAGGCATATTATCTGCGAAGAAAATTCATGTTCTAGACTTTATAAACATCAATATAAAAATTTTTTATGATATAATCCAGAGAATATGATAAACAGTTATACGTTATGAGTTAACACTAGATCTCACTTGTTCAGTGAATTTATCTCTTCAACTCTGATTATTGAAGACGCAATATTCCCATTATTTTGTCCACTGTTTCAGTAATATTTTGGTGCTATCAACCATCGAAATTAGATTAGATGTGTAGATTTACCTAATCAGTGCGCTACACCGCACTTTTAATAGTTCATAAGATTTATATATCAGAGAATTGCTTTTGATCTTATTATTATTAATCATTCTCTGAGTTCCAAGAGAGATAAAGGGCTTCGACCACACATCTCGGTTCCACTCAAATCACAGCCATAACTTCCATCCACCTCCACAACTGGCTACAAGCTCTCATTTCCTCCTAATATTAGTATCTTTTGTGTCACATTCAAACATCAAACTTGCCACTTCACATTCTCGTTCCATTCGGTGGAACTCAACAATTTCACTGCATGTCGAATCCATCCCCATTTGTTCCTTTATATTCGCTCATTGGGCGATCAGTTGTTGGTCAGTGACTGTCACTGACTGCCAGAGTTCCATGTTTGCTAATTACTTCTGGTTGTTCACCATGTTTTGGGCAAGGGGAGAATGCAAGTGTTGATAAAATTGTGCATCAAGAATTGGAAGTGTTTTGTGTATCTGTTGTGTCAATTGTCTGAGACATGGAAGCAATAACTTAACATTAGTGTTGAAGTAATGAGCGCATCTCTGTCCTGCTTTCACGACACTCACTTTTTTGACACCAACACCTCTGTCGCCTGGGTGTAGTTGCAACAAGGTTTCTGTGCTTAGTCAGACAGGCGATTTCCAGCTGGTGTTCGATGTTTTTGACTGACTGCCTTTATCATCTCTGCCTTCTCTATGTTCACTTGAAGTCCCGTTTTCAGTGCCTTTTCCGCTAATTTTTTGCTTTTCTCTTACAAGTAATCGAGTGTGCGAGGCATTACACATAAATTACTCGCTAATTTCAGTCTTGTAGGACGGTTTTTTCAGCCCAAATTGTATCCGTCTTTTCACAGTACACCATGATCGAGCTCACCAAAAGCAGGAAAACCGTCGTTTTTGTATTACTCCTGTCTTCATTTCGAAGGCTTTCGTGAGCTTACCGCTATGAATTACTCGGCGTGTGGTGCAAATGCATAGCTGAGCTTTATTGATGTTTCTGGCTCTGCATTCTGTGGCGTTGAGCTACTACTTGACCGACTCTGGGAAAAACCTTTACAGAGTCTATGAAATCCATGTAAACAGATGACTATCATTCTTGTCTTTACTCAAAAGTGGTGCATTATTTTGCATTTTGATCTGCACATAACTTGTTTTTCATGAATGTAGTGTGTTCCGGCGAAACCTCACTCACAGAGTTTCCTTTAGTATTTCTATGAGAATGCAGTTTATTATTTTGAAAGAGTAGAATGGAACATGATAAAGTATAGTTTCTTCCGATCATTAGGAACCTTCCATCCATTCCACATGGTAAGAAGCAGTAGCGTGAGGATGTTTGCTATGGTGCCTGTGTTCGTTTTCAGTGCTTATCCAGGGATTCTACCTGTTCCTGCTGCTTCCCAAGTTTTAAGTAGCTTTGTGGCATTGATGATTTCTTATTTTGTCAGAGAGTTTATGTTTGCTGCTAGTTCTGAGTCCACTACTGTTGGTGGATTCAAGTGTCCGTGAAGTGATCGTCTCCGTGTCTTATCTGTTCCATCTCTTTGGTAACTTGGCTTTACTCACCATCATAGCCTTCATCTGAGCCGATTTCTTCGCTATCAACGACCTAAATATTGACGCCTTGCTGAAAGGTATTCATTACCTCTGATCTGTTCTACTTCTCCTGCAGTGTGTTAAAAAAAAGTGTTTATTTTATCTTCTATACTCCTTTGTTTTGTGCTCTGTTGGTTGTTCTCAGCTTCTCTTTCCGTTGTTTATGTTCTGTGTTTCAACCCTCCTCTGCTGTCAGCATTCAATTATTCGTGAACACCCATCTTCTTGTCTCTTCTCTTCTCCTTATACAAGGTGTCTATGTGAGGACCTGAGCTGCAGTCTATTTGCAGCCTCCTTGAAGGTTTTCAATTTGACCCTGAGTGTTCCCTGAATTAGATAATGTTCTGAACTGAAACCTTCTCCCCTAATTGACTTTGTGTTTAGTAGGCTGCGCTTCCACTTTCTTGAGATAGAAATGAGGTGTAATCACTCATGACCGATTGAAAATGCATATTGTTTTTTTTCTCTAGTTTAGTTAAATTGTGCAAACAAAGGTGAATAATGCCTCGGAATTAGTATGACATTGTGTAAGATTTTGAAATAATAGAGAGGATTTGTAGCTCAGGTGGATGATTTGGAATTAGCGGCGTTCTCTAAACTGGTTGCTTTAATAGCAAAGCTCTCGTCGTCCTTCTGGACAACATCTTCAGCGCACACATGACATCATAGGGTAACAACTGTCAGTTCCTTTAGAGAGTAAATAGCACACTTTAGTGTTCACTTCACCACAACACATTTTAATGATAATCTTTTCTCATCTCATATAGTGCTTTCATTATGCAGATAGAGAACTAATAATTTTCTTGACAGCGGTAACAGTTAGTTTGTAGTAAGTTAAACTATGAAAAAAAAGCAACCATCAGGTTGTTTGCTTATACTGATAAGCAGTGGATATACAGCCTACTGAAGTTATGATCCTGTTAAACGAATCAATACGGACGGTATACAATTTTATCAGTAATACAAAACTTGTATTATTTTCTGCAAAAATAGACGCTAAATCATAACACATGTTAGATGATTTCTATTCACTGCCAACTTCTCTAAGTTTAAATTCTTCATTTGATGGAAAATATGAAGTAATAAATATTGTAGCATCATCCGCTTGAAAGATAAACTAAGTCAAGTATTTATTTAGTATTAACCCAGCATATTTTGACAAATTTATGTTCACATTGAATTTCAGAGGATAAATAAAAATCTGGGTCTTTCCAGACCACCTGGAATAAAATAAGTCGCTGTATGCAGTTTTGAAGTCAAGATTGAAATTTTCAGGCAAATTATGCATAAGTGATTCCACTTATCACAGCCATAAATTTAACAAAAAACATTTCTGTCTTTCTACGTTAACAGAATTGCAAAATGAAGGTGATTATATACAAATCTTACCGAATTATGTCGTAAAAAGTAAAAATTTTGATTCAGCCAATCGTATTCGACCCAGGGAAATATGATGTCTTTGAAGGAAATGTTGTGAAACATAATGTCTTCTATCAGATTGCCATGGATTAAAGAAAACTGTTTCATGGCACCGTCCGAATGAAATGTGAACAGCCTGTTCATTTTTAAATCTCCATGGACAGCTGTTAGTTTAAGAAAAGCATGCAAAATACTAATAGATTTAGAAGTTGAAGCATATTTTTTGGAGAAATGAAATTATACAGTTCACGCATACTTTATCAGAGAAATAAGACAATAATATTTTTATTGCCTTTGAGAATTAAGCCTTTGTGTGTAATCGATCGTCATCATTAATTGATGGACATTAGTAGCTGAATTCATGTGAACAATCATTTTGAATGCATGACTGTTATATAAAAGACTCAAAGTTTAAAGCCGTTCAGTATTATTGATAGGAGTTTTTCAACTATATGTAAAACTCTTGAGTTGATTAGTTTTACTTTCGGTTAAATGAGATGAACAATCCATTATGTACTACATTCTGGAAACTCACATACTTCAAAATCAATTTACAAAATATTCAATAGATGAAACCTGTAGTCTTCACTGTTTCACTTTGTGTTTGCTCACACAGTGACAACTAAAATATTCATAACTAGGCTGCAAAATGATTCAATTAGATTTGCGGGCAAAATGTTCGAAATATAGTATTTCACCTATTATACTTCCGTATGGTAAATATACTACAGATAAAATAAAGCGAATAGCTATACGTGCTCTTCACTCAGTACCACAGCCCAGTCAACCTTATTGGGTAAGCTTTTCAGTGTAGACTTTAACATGAAATGCTATTACTTCGAGGATCCCTGAAAACCAAAGGATACTATACAGTTCAATACCTTTCAACAGTGTGTTGCCAATGATGGAACTCGAAATCGAGCGGAACACGTTGGCCTTCCAGTCTCAGGAATTAAACACGATGAATCATGAATTCTAAATTCCATCAGTTTGCAGTATATTGCCAATGCTAGACAGTGCCGCGAATCAGTTTTAGGTATGACATTGACCACTTTTATTTCCTTTACTTACGGAAGTTACAAAACTGCCATAAAGCAGTGTCCATTGCGTACAACAAAATTTGACTGTAAATGTATACACGATTCGAAGGAAGATTTTAATGTTTATCACTAGCATTTTATCATTTATGAGCAGTTTTATGAGCTTATAGTCTACTTTTGTGACCCCTAATGGACCTTTTACCCAGTTTGTCACAAAATTAACTTGAAGATTTCATAATAAGACTCAAATTAGTTACCGAAATCTACTCCCTCTTCATAGGTTTCATCTACATTTTTTACAGATAACAGATAATAATTTCTGTGAGTAAAAATATCACTGTCAGAAAACTGAATGACTCCTAAATTGGGCTCTTATTGTGACCTTCCTTGTACAAATCATGGACTAAACTGTGTTTGCATCTGCAGTGATAATGATGAGCAATACTCCACAATATATTTCAGAGTTAATCGACATTATAATATGATTATTATTGTTATCAACTGCACAACTATAAAATGTTAATTTCTGTAAAACACATTTCTGCATTTGTCTAAAGACTCCAGCTAGTTTTTTTTTTGCCTTATTTAGGTGTAGAACAAGTGCGAAGTAAATAAGATGGGCTCTTACATTGTAATTTATATGCTGGATATATCTTAAAATATATGCATGAAAGTTTTGCACTGAACGCCGTAAAATCTGAGTGATCAATAGATTTGTGTGCAGATAAGTGTGGAATAAATTGGAGCTTCAGCACGAGATTGCAAATTACAGATAGCCATGAAAACTTAAACTTCTAAATGCTTCCAAGAAAGACTGTTTCAATTCGTTCAATACATTTTGTCTTTGATTATGTTTAGTCTTAATCTAATTATTGTAGAATATGGTAGATGGTCTGTCGAACATTAGATGAAGTCATCATTCAAAAGTATTTTTTCCACAGATTTTGCTGCTATTCTCTGCAAAAATAATTTCCGTCAGCTAAGTATTGACTAGAGAGAATCTGAGGCATCTCGATAGCATATACAAAACAGACAATGTAACACTCATAACTACATTATAAGTTAATGTATGCAAAATATGGTTGAAATTTTTAATAAATTACCCTGTCATATAAATTTTTTCTTATTCCTTCACGTTCCCAGTGGAACATAGGGCTTCAAGCTAGAGGCTTGAAGTTTCTGTAGCAGTGTTTTATTTTTACAGGATGGGGTTGCTAGCCACACGCCCAACCTTTTCCTCTTCACCAGCTTTTAGTTCTGGCTTAGCGAGGTAAAGGAGTGTGTCGGCCGGGGATCGAACCCCGGACCATGTGCATGGTCGGCGAGCGTCCTAACCGCTATGCCACCGACGCATGGGTGGTTCAAAAGAAATAACTTTAGAACGAAGACTCATTTTTATTATCAAGTTTAAACCTATCAAATCTAAGCATAACCTTTTAAAAAACATACTACATACATACATTTACACATTACTATTCTACAGCTAATAGAATCATTTATTATCGCGTAGAATGCTTTACGGTGGGATAGCGGTGGAACTAATCTTACAGTGCAATTGAAGGTGATGAATGAAGATATCTTCACACGAGTAAACACATACAGAGAATGAAAAACACTGTCATGGGAATTTATTTTAAAATTACCCCTTTAAACTCCTTTCAAGCTTTTATAAAGAATTGTCACGCTTATGCGGTTTAGTTTATAACAGCCTATGGAACTATAAAAGCCAATAACTTTGATGTAAAAAGGAAAATTTTCAATTCATTTTACTACCAGCAGCTATTTACGCACACTATATTTTACAGCATTTCAAAAACTTGACTACACTTCAGCTTTAAGGCGATCTTTTGTGTACACTGTAATTATATTCTTGCATAAATCATCAACTTATTGGGAACAAAATCGTGTTGAAAAACGGGGCGGGGGGTAAAAAATATATTAAGTGAATTTCACATTGAAAATCCACTTTTTATTTTCATTTAAAAACCCTTTTTCTCTTGAAAAGTTATTCTACCAAATGACACAACTGATAATTTTCAGTCTTAATTTTTAGTTTCTAAAATTTTCTTTTAAAATTGTAGAAATGTCATTTAATAGTTGCTGCCTTCTCCTCCTCCTTTTCCACCTCCTTATTTTCTTTTCCATTTTTCTTAGTTATCTGAAATTATGTCTTAAGCCAGTCAGAAGGTGATTGTTTTCCCAATACGCTTACGCGAATTGGCATCAAATTTTTCAGTATAAGGCCAAAAAATGGTAATATTACATTTTCTGATGGCAGGAAGACATTGGTGTATTTGACAGAATAAAGAGTCAATGATCACAATAACATTGAAGTTGGTAATATCAAAAGAAAAATTTTCAACTGTTACATTTTTGGCATCTCTCATATTTAGAACTGTTTGTATAAAACAGCTGGAGGGAATTGATGTGGACCTATACTTTTGCGATCTTCGTAAGCATAAGAGAAAAGTTTAAATAATTCATTCAAGCATAATTCCACATAGACTGGATTATTTTACAGAAAAGTGCGTGTTGCATATTGGCGCACGATTAGAGAACGGATTAGTTCCCTTTATTTTCATAGATCCAAATTATTAGAATCACTGTGATTTCGGACCTCTTCACTTAAACGATTTTTAGAAAACGCCAAAAGTATTTAGCTTCTGAAACAACAACATATTTGATTGGACACTAGTAACTAGTGTGACGTCTCTAGTCCTTTCTTTGGTGCAGACTGAATTCTATCAGTCAGGTTTGCAATGTGGCCACCATTCTAGGTAGCTCGCCATCACGGTGCACATCGATTTGATAAAATTCAGTCTGCACCAAAGAAAGGACGTGTTACTAGTTACTAGTGTCCAATCAAACTACCCACTACAGTCCTACAGGAGGTCAATCGCGAGCTGGAATAGCTCAGTGGTAACGTCTTTGACTGCAGCACTGGGTGACGCGGACTCGAATGTCAGAAGGGACATGAGTTCCTTCAAAACAATGTAAGTTTTTGATGAAACTAGTAACCACACCGAGTTTTCTTACAAGTATTAGTTACCAGTTGGTCAACTAAAAGAAGTCACATATTTCTACTTACACGTGAAGTACTTAGAATTTCTATTCTAGTCCCTTTTTAATGTCTTGGAATTAGCTTGTATGAAGCTAGTGGGTTCCGTTAATTCTGCAAACAGAAGCTATAAATTTCTAGATATCATCCAGCTTTAAATGGACTTTGCAGTTTGGCTCTAACATAGTAGCATTTCAAGTTAATTTTTTATATCTGTTTGAGAGAAACAATCTGGATATTTTGTTAAGATAGCTGAGAAACAGGTTTTGAAAAATGGTCACCTAGCAGTATACTGAAGTCTTGTTATTAAACTGTCTTTGTTTTTTCATCCAGTCGATGACCAGACAATTTATTCGTTTAAAGTTTTCCATATCCCATTGTGTCGGATAACAAGGTTTAATCATGTATCACAGTTCCATATCACTATATAGTTTTGATCCTAGACTGTTACACTTAGAATATTGATCTGAAATATTCTAGCCTTCGTTGGAACTGAAGAAGAGCGTTGAAATCCTGTCAATGCATATTCACCGAAATACCAAATATAGAGAAAAGAAGTGGAATTTAGTACTGTGTTCGTATTTTGCACGTATACTCAGGTTACCAAACTAGGCATAACAACTGATAATCTTTTACAAAATAGAAAAACTGAAAACATATAAACCAGCAGACAGGTCCTTTTTGATAACTTTTCAATAAGTTGAATGGTTATTTAGAGGTTTATACTTCTAATGTTAGCTGTCAACAATGTTCATAGGTTATTGTTAGATGGCAACAAAGACAAACCAAAGTGTATGAGGAATATTAATGAAAAGCCTAACTAATCACGAAATTGTACAACTAATTAAATAATGAATAATTATTTGGGGATAATTTATTTAAAACATTAGCATATGACAAAAAAATTAAATACAATTCACTATACGACAAGAAAATAAAATTGAAACTAAGGATCTGACAGTAAAACAAGCTAGGTAAGACCTTTTTGAACACAGAACACGAATTTTCATCTGTGGACGGCAAGAGCTTCAGCTGCACAAAAGCAATGTAAGCAAAACCTTTTTGA